CCTACCAACGTATACTATGAGTATATATTTCCTACCCATAACTTTCTGTGAGCATATTGAGCGTATCATGAATCAATATTGGTGGGGTTCGCGGGGTAATGAAGGTGGTGGAATGCGGTGGATGGCATGGCGGCGCTTGTGCCCCCATAAGGCTGCTGGAGGTATAGGTTTCAAGCAATTAAACAGGTTCAACCTTGCGTTGCTTGCCAAGCAAGGTTGGAGTCTTCTTATTAATCCAACTTCACTTGTAGCTCGAGTATTCAAGGCACGATACTACCCTCATGATGAATTTTTGGACGCAAGAATCCATGCAAATCCCAGCTATGTTTGGCGTTCAATTCTTGCTGGAAAGGATATACTAACCACAGGTTGTGTTAAGCGCATTGGCAATGGAGAAGGAACTTCAGTTTGGAAGCACCCTTGGTTGCCGGATGTTGCGAATCCTTACATTCAAACTCCATGCCCAGGTCAGGACCTGAATATGAAAGTCAGTGAGTTGATTAGCTCAGTGACTAAGGACTGGGATGTTGAGAAATTAAACCAGAACTTTGATGCACGGGACGTGGACCTGATACGCAGAATCCCAGTGGCTGCAAGTTTCAAGGACACCTGGTACTGGCGTGATGACATAACAGGTCAGTATAGTGTGAAGCAGGGTTATAGGTTGATCAGTACTCTACATGATGAAGGTCAGAGCATGAATTTTGCTTGGAAGGAGTTATGGAGGCCCAAAATTCCACCGAATATTACAAATTTTGTATGGAGATGTATACATGGAGTTTTACCAACAATGGAAGCTTTATGTTCGAAGAGGATGAATGTCGACGTGAATTTCCACCTTTGTAACCAGCACCCCGAGACGTTGCGACACCTGTTCTTGGATTGTGTATATGTCCAGCTTCTTTGGATAGATACACACCGTCAGTTAATTGATGATGATGATGATTTTATTATGTGTTTGTCCAAGTGGCTAGCCGTGGCTGACTGCAATGTTATTAAGCGGTGCATAGCAGTATGTTGGTCTATCTGGAAGCATCGCAATGCTCTAATCTGGAGCAGCAAAGTCTGGCAGACAAACTCTATTATTTTGGAAATCCAAGGGCTGTTGAACGATTGGGAGGAATGCCGCGTGCTCAATATTGATGAACCGAGAGTTATTCATCCAACTGCTGATCAGATGTGTGTGTCTTCAGGTACGATGCGAGTTTTTGTTGATGCAGCGGTTTATCCAGATTCGGACGATGCTTATTTTGGGATTTATATGGTGGACAGTAAGTGGTTACGTGGCGGCTAAAAATGGGTCCATTAGATGTATGCAGAATGTGCTACTTGCAGAAGCCATGGCCGTGAAGGAAGCTTTGTCCTGTATCACAAAGTAAGAGGCAATGTGTATAGAGAGAAAGGAGCTTAGGAAGAAAGAGTTCTCTTGTTCATTACTGAATGTATCTGTCACTCTGCATCGAATTTACATATGGCTTATATATTCCCACTAACTAATTACAAGAAGGGCTATTAACAGTGTATACAGTGTATATAACCATCATAACAGACTAACTGTTGCTTGTAACCATATTAACTGCTACTAACTTCTTTGCTGAGCTGTTGTTCCTCTAATATCCCCCCGCAAGCTGGAACGTATATGGAATGAAGTCCCAGCTTGGAAACGAACCTTTGAAACAACATTGGTTGCAATGGTTTGGTCAGGATATCAGCTGTTTGCCTATCAGTGGAGACATGTAGCAGCCTGATGATGCCCCTTTGAACCTTTTCTCTGACCAAGTGGCAATCGATTTCTATATGTTTTGTACGTTCGTGGAACACAGGGTTTTCAGCAATAGCAATGGCAGACTTGCTATCAGAGTATAGTATAGTTGGTCCTTCCAGTTTGATCTCCAACACCTCTAGTAAGAAGACTAACCACTGTATTTCACATGAGGCCACTGCCAAGGCTCTATACTCAGCTTCCGAAGATGATCTAGATATGGTACCTTGCTTCTTAGATTTCCAAGATACTAGGGCATCACCTAAAAACATGCAGAACCCTGTCACAGATCTTCTAGTGTCAGGGCAGGCTGCCCAATCTGAATCAGCAAAACCACTCAACTTCAAGTTAGATTTGGTAGGGAAAAACAAGCCTTGTCCAGGGCATCCTTTGATGTATCTTAAGATTCTATGTGCAGCCTGCATATGAAGGGTTGTAGGGCTGTCCAAAAATTGAGAGAGCTGTTGTACAGCAAAACATATATCAGGCCTAGTGATTGTTAGGTAAAGAAGTTTGCCTACCAATCTCCTGTACTGAGTATTATCCTCCAATGGTGTACCTTCAGTCTTGGAAAGTTTGGTGGTGTGTACCATAGGGCATTTCATAGGTTTGCTCTCCAGGAATCCTGTTTCTTGTAGCAAATCCAAAGCATACTTTCTTTGTGTTACAGATATTCCATTCTGATTTCTTGCAACTTCAAGCCCAAGAAAAAAATCTTAGATTCCCCAAATCCTTTATTTTGAAAGTAGAATGTAGATGGCTCTTGATTTTCTGAATCTGGTTTTCATCACTGCTGGCCAATATTATGTCATCAACATAAACTAGTAAGGCAACAAAAGTCTCACCAGAACCTCTTGTGAACAAAGAATTATCACACACAGCCTGCTGGAATCCCATGCCTGCTAATTCAGCAGTTAATTTGGCATTCCATTGTCTACTGGCCTGCTTCAATCCATAGAGAGATTTAGTTAGTCTGCAAACCTGCCCTGGTTGTTGAGGAACAAAACCTGGAGGGAGAGTCATGTATACTTCTTCATGGAGATCTCCATGCAAGAAGGCATTGTTGATGTCAAGTTGATGCAACTGCCATTTCCTTGCAGCTGCCACAGCAAGTAGGGTCCTGATGGTAGTGACTTTGGCTACTGGACTAAAGGTATCAATGTAATCTAGTCCACAAGTTTGGGTGTATCCCTTTGCCACAAGCCTTGCTTTGCATCTTTCCACAGTCCCATCAGCTTTGAATTTCACCTTATAAACCCATTTGCAGCCTATAGCCTGTTTGGAGGGTGGAAGAGTAGTTAATTCCCATGTCTTGTTGTTTTGTAGAGCATCTATTTCAGCTTGCATAGCAGATTTCCAACAATCATGTTTGATAGCCTCATTGTAGGTTTTAGGCTCTTTGGTGATGAGAATGTTTGTAGCAAAAGCCTTAAATTTTGGAGACACTTTGTCATAGGATAAGACTGCAGAGAGGACATGTGGAGAAGTCCTAGTGGCAGGAAGTGTGCAGCTGTAGTCCTTAAGATAAGCAGGTCTAGATGTTTGTCTGCTAGATCTTCTAGGTTGTTCTTGTTGTTGGACAACCTGTACATCATCAGAAGAATTATAAGGAGGATTATCATTCTGATTGTGTACTTCTGCTGAGTTATCAGCTGTTAAACCATTATCTGCAGTAGGGGGGACTCTCTGAGATATAATATCATCTGATAAAAGACTGTTATCCACGGGAGGATGGGATCCTGAGTGTGTTTTCCTTCACTTGAGGTACCTGCTTTGTAAGGGAAGACATCCTCATAAAACACAACATCTCTGGACATGAATACCTCCCTAGTCTTTAGATCATATAACTTGTATCCTTTCACTCCACTTGGATACCCAAGAAATATACATTTTCTGGCCCTAGGAGCAAACTTCCCTTGACACCTGTTGTGCAAGACAGCATATGCTAAACATCCAAATACTTTGAGGTGATTGAACTGTGGAGGCTTTTTAAACACCATTTGATATGGAATCTGGCCTTGTAAGGCAGTGGAGGGTAGCTTGTTGATGATGTGTACAACATGTAAGATGCAATCACCCCAAAAACCATCTGATAATCCAGCCTGAATTTTGAGAGCTCTTGCAACTGCCAAAATGTGACCATGCTTCCTTTCAACCACACTGTTTTGCTGTGGGGTGTAGACACATGAGGTTTGATGAATAATTCCCTTTTCTTGATAGAAATTATCCATTCTAAATTCCTGCCCATTATCAGTTCTGATACATTTGACCACACTGTTGAGCTGTGTGTGAATAAATGCACAGAACCCTTCTACAAGTGCCTTGACTTCACTCTTGCCTTTCATCAAGTATACCCATGTGGCTCTACTATAATCATCCACAATAGTTAGGAAGTACTTATGACCATATATGGTGTGTGTGCGGTATGGCCCCCAAATGTCCATATGAAGAAGATCAAAGCATGCAACAGAAGCAGTAGAACTATTAGTAAAAGGCAATCTCCTTTGCTTAGCCAAGTGGCAAATATCACAAGGATTTTCTTTATTGAATTTGAAATCTGTATCTGACAACTGTAACAAACTCATCTTTCCATAGGAACAATGTCCTAGTCTAGCATGCCAAAGAGTGCTAGGTTTACAAGCATTAATCCTAACTTGCTCTATTTTTTCAGAAGATACAAAAAAAAAAAAACAGGTTCCACTAACTGGTATAGACCCTTCTTCAGGCTAGCCATACCAATCTTCACCCCAAGATTATGATCCTGTATAATGCATGTGTCAGAATGAAATAATAGTCTGCATTTAGAAGTCCTCATTAACTCACTGACAGATACAAGATTGTAGTGGAATGTAGGAACACAAAAAACATTATGCAAAATCACGTCACTGGCAGCATGAACAGACCCTATATGTGTAATGTCAGCCCTATCCCCATTTGGTAGTTCAACAAACATTCCTAGGACTTTCTTGGCATTAGTCAATACATGAGGCTGACAGACAACATGATGAGTGGTTCCACTATCTAGTATCCAGACTATCTCATTTCTAGAGCAAAGTTTAGGATTAGTACCTTCAGAATGTTGGCTGGGAACAAAGTTGGCAGCTATGAGATTAGCTTGTGGTGATACTCTCCTCGTCATATCCAAGGGTGAATTCTGTGCACCAAAATCTCTTTGGAGCAGTTGCTTGAAAAGTTGATATTCATCTTGAGTCAAGGACACACCATTCTCAGTAGCCATCTAAGTGGTATTAAGTTGCATTTGATTGATTGCCCCACCACTTTTGGTCCTTGGTTTCCATCCGGGTGGGTATCCATGCTTCTTATAACACTTTTCTACAGTGTGTCTAGTGAATCCACAAAAAGTACAGACTGGTTTCTTGTTACCATTAGAGTAAAACTTCTTGGATCCTGAGTTGTTTCCACTGGTCTGTGCCAAGAATACACTCCCAGCTCCTAGACCTTCTGTTGAATGAGGTGATTGCAATCCTATGATTCCACCATTAAGCCTTGTCTCTTGTTGTTGAACCATCATGAATGCTTCGTCAACAGTGGGAAGGGGCTTCATCATCATAATTTGGGATTGAACAGAGCTATAACTCTCATTCAAACCTCTCAAAAATACTGACAAATTATCACAATCCATATGTTTTTGCAAGGTATCCAACAATCCACAATTGCACTTATTTGCACATTTGCAGGTAGGTAATGGTCTAATGACCTGTAATTCATCCCATAGAACATTTAATTTGGCAAGATAACCACTTACACTCAAATCCCCTTGCCTGATTTGATGGATCTCTGCCTGAAGATCAAAAACTCTGAAGATGTCTGCAACACTGAATCTAGCCTTCAGTGTATTCCAAATTCTTGCTGCCGTGCCGAGCCAAAGGATTGTTTGGGCAATTTCTGGTGAAACTGATCGCGTAATCCAGGTGGAAACCATATTATTGCATCTCTTCCAATACGGAAATTTCACGTCTGCTACACTTGGAACTTCAATTGTGCCATCAACGAAACCTAGCTTGTTTTTTGAGAGCAAAGCCATTTCCATTGCGCTGGACCACGGGTGATAATTTCTGCCATCTAGAACAGCGGAAACTAAGATTAAAGACGGATTCTCACTTGAATGTAGAAAGAACGGGCTCGCTGTGTCATTTGGATCGAAAGGAGCTTCGTTCACCACATTTGTGCTAGTCAGGGAGGCGGCCACCAGTGGAATCCCTGGCGGCGGTCTAATTCCTGCTCCTGTCCACGCCATGTACGCAGCTTATAGCTCTGATACCATATCATAAAGTAAGAGGCAATGTGTATAGAGAGAAAGGAGCTTAGGAAGAAAGAGTTCTCTTGTTCATTACTGAATGTATCTGTCACTCTGCATCGAATTTACATATGGCTTATATATTCCCACTAACTAATTACAAGAAGGGCTATTAACAGTGTATACAGTGTATATAACCATCATAACAGACTAACTATTGCTTGTAACCATATTAACTGCTACTAACTTCTTTGCTGAGCTGTTGTTCCTCTAATATCCTGGGCAAAGGAAATAGGAGATAATAAACTGGTGATCTTTTCGGATTGCCAGTTGGTTTGCAAATGGTTCGATAGTATGGCACGCGATCTTTCTTATGTTGGTTGTGTCTTAAATGAGTGCCGATCTCTCAAACTACACTTTGAATCAGTGTCCATTTATTTTATTCCTAGATCAGCAAACAAGTTTGCTCATGCACTAGCTAGAGCTACTCGTTCTCAGCCTGGTCCGTTGTGTTGGTTATCAGTGATTCCTTTTTGTATTGAGCACCTATTTTAATAAAGTTATTCTTATTCCCTTTCAATATATATATATATATATATATATATATATATATATATATATATATATATAAAATATGCCAACCTCTATTAAACATTAAAAAAAAAAAAAGATAACTTGATTCAAATAGTAAACAACACCCCAAACTCAGGAAATGGTTCTCCTGGAGCATTAGAGCATAAGGTTGAGGAGTAGCTGCTCTGGTTGGTCTCCTTTTCTACACTTGGTTTCATTCCCCCTCTCTGGATTAGTAGAGTTTTGCGTGGTGGGGTTCATACTTCATATCCCCTAATATGAGCTATGAAACCATTAGGAGGTGTTTCCATTACTAGGGGTGTAGGCCTATTGAGACATAATAACTCCATTATTTCAGCTCTCATATCCGATATGGCTTTCATCATGTGTTTCTGAGTTTGTTTTTGCTTCTTGTATTGTAGCCTCGAACAGTTCATCAAACTTAGCTTGCTTTTCATGCAACACCCTAAATCGATCTTCGTTGGTCACAATTTATTGCTAAGGAAAGAGAGTTGTGATACCAAATGTAACAGACCAAGAAAATAATGGATTAAACAAGAAAGGGGCAAAGAAAAGGAGAATTGTAGAAAAACATGGGAAATTTGCAGTGGAAAAGGGAAAGATTGTAGTAGGAGAACAAGAAAGGAAATTAGAGAGAAAGTGATAAATATGATTCATTCAAATAGATAGCATCATTTGTTAAATAACTTTTAGGGGGCCTTTGGTTCACGGAATGTTAGATTACCTTAGGGAATGTTAGATTACCTTAGGGAATGTTAGATTACCGTGTTTGGTTTAAAACTAAGATATGCAAATAAAACAACGCTAATAAGATAAATTGATTAAAACATCCAAAGCCCAACATTAGTAATAAGACAAGGGAATGTGAGATTACCTAAAAAATTGGAGGGTATCTCACATTCCCTGGGAAAGTTATATAACATGAACCAAACATGGGAATCTTATATTACCAAGCAAATATAACATTGGTTATCTTATATAACCTAAACCAAATGCCCCCTTAGGAATTTAAAGGAAAGCAATACACAAAATAACAAAATAGAATTACAAGCTAACTACATTTCTAGATAAAGAACCACGTTTCTATCTCTTCATGATGATGATGTAACTAATGAGCTCAAACACAACAACCAGGGATGGAGCCACCGTGGGGGCAGTGGAGGCAGTGCCCCCCCTCCCCTTCTCTCTACCACACCCCTTTATATATATATATATATATATATATATATATATATATATATATATATATATATATATATATAGAGAGAGAGAGAGAGAGAGGGGGGGGGGGGGAGAGATTTAGGATCATATGAGATCACGTTTATGTGAGATTGTTAGATCAAATCTTGTGCATCCATCTAATAATTTTTAATGGTCATGATTGACCAATAATTAAAGTTTAAATTGTCTTAAAATAAGGATAAGGGGTCAAATAGTAAAATAAAGAAGAATCTTTATACGGATTAAATTATATTAAATATCATGTCCATATTTGTAGGAGATTTATTAAAGGTATGAATGCAAATAATATAATTTGTAATCAAATATCCTCAAGAAACATAGACACCACGGTAACAATGGACACACCATGGCCGATGGAGAACACAGGTACATTCGTGTTAAACACCAGTGTGTGCAATCAGGTATGTCCGGTCACCATGTGTGCAATCAGTGTGTGGTTAAACACCAAGACCTTAACGCACATGTGCACACACTTGTGCACTATTATGCATACACCCAATAACATTAAATCCATCATTAATTTCAGTCCTGGACTCAGTATTAAAATGATACAAACACAAACACGCCCACAGGATTGCACATATATGCACACCTATGTTAACTTTGTTGCACGTACTTCTTATATTTGAAGACTTCATGTGACAACCCAAAAATTTAATTTTATAAATCCAATTTTAAGAAAATCCGAAATAGTCATTTTTCACTCCGTAAAAATTTTTGCGATGAAATCGGTGTTGAATAAATTATTTTGAGCCACTTTTAAGTAAATTCAACACCAGCACTTATTTTAAATCTAAAATCCTAGATTTTTGGGTACATTGCGTACCAAGTTTTTGATCCAAAAGTCAATCTGAGTGAAACCGGAAAGGAACCTGTGAAACCTGAACCAAGTGTTTTAATTAGAACTATCTTTTAGGAAATCCATTTTGACCCCAAAAACTATCTCAAACTATGATTCTAGACTTGGTCCATGAAGCTTGTTAGACCACAACCATCGAACACCTTGTCTGATCTTTTTAGAACGACCACCAAATTACCACTTTGCCCTCCACCAATCATTGTTGATTCTCCTAGGGTTTAGAGCCCTATAAAATGAAATGTTTTCAGCCATTGCCTCTTGATTCCCAACCTTGTCTTCCCTACCAAGAAGCTCTGCAAGAAGCCAAAGAAAAACATAGTAAGTTTTAGCCTATTTCAACCATTCATCCACTCTTCTCCTAGCTTCTTTGATTTCTAGCTTCCATCTCTGAGAACTTAGCTCTTAAGGCTTGTTGTATGGTTTGTTTGGGATGTTTAGGTGGTGAAGGGGGTTTTAGCTGACTTGGGAAGAAGGAGGAATCCCAACAAGAAGAAGAAGAAGTCTACAAAGGTATAACCTCATGGACTCCCACTTTAAGTTTTGGCTCTGTGAAGCCTTGTTTCTTAGGTAGAAATGAGTAGAAATGCTAGATTTTTGATGTGTTTGAACTATGAAGTGATCAATTACTTGTCCATGATGTGTTGTTGATGTTTTGGATGTATTAAATTTGCCTAAAAATGCCTAACAGATGAAAAGAACTCATCTGGTGCACAAGCAGTGTGCACCAGTAGAAGCAACGGCCCTAGCCAACGTCCCAACAAGAGGACCGTTGGCTAGAGCCGTGGCCGGCCGGGCCTAGGGAATGGCCCTAGGAGAGGGCCGTTGCCTAGGGCCGGCAAGCTAACGGCCTGAGAGGGCGGGCCATGCTGAGCCCCGCCCCATGGTCCGTGAGTTACTCCTGTGTAGTGGCCGGGCCCTTGTGGCTCAACTACGTGTCGTTTCGGACCAGGTGTCATGGGCCCTTGTGGCTTGGTACCTCGGGGTCGTCTTGATGCACGTTTTGGCTTTGATTTTGTTGAATTTGGATTAGAAATGAGCATGTTATGATGGAATTTGTTATGAAAATACTTCACAGTAGTATGGTTTGAGTTCACGGCCTTTGGTATTTGCCTTGTGTTATCTTCCTGATGCTATTTGTGTATTGAATAGAGAAGCATGATCACTTTGTGAATAAGAATTATTAGAAAAACATGATTAGAATGTGTTGTATGTTAAATGTGATTGAAGCTTATTTTGATGGTAGAAATGTACAGAGCATGTCTTTTTGCAACCTAGCATGATTGGTTGTTCTTGAGAGTTCAATGTGATATAAATATAGATTTGAAGCATGTTGTACAGTAAATTGCATTCCAAGTATATCATGTTTTAAAAGTGCATAAGTGGCCAACGTGAGCCTAAGTATTACTTTCAAAATTCATGAGCATGTGGTATATTGTTTCCTTGTTGCATTGAGAAGTTGTTGAGATGTGACTTGCATAAGTTTGGTGCATGATATATATATATATATATATATATATATATATATATATATATATATATATATATATATATATATATATTATCTATATCAGTGAGGTTTTGGAGGACCCCGTTTGGACTATGTCCTCTCGGATGAAAGTTATGGACATTGCAGTCCCAATATATGTAACGCGGTGTATTTCCACGTTACGAGGTTGGAAACTGTCCGCCAAGCTTGGAATCTTGGTCAGGGGGTGTGCACGCTAATAGTTCGATACCTGATTTCACAGAGTTTGAACATAGAACCAAGAGAGTGGTTCGGTGGATGAGCAGAGTATTAGGTCGGCTAGACGCCGTGCCCGGATAGGTTCGTTCACACTACAGTGAAGTTCCTACCTCGTCCATTTATAAAGAAAGTGAGTCATTACGACTCTAAGAAAAGAAAGAAAGAAAGTGAGTCATTGCGACTCTAAGAAAAGAAAGAAATAAAGTGAGTCATTGTGACTCTAAGAGACCTCCACAGAAAAGTATTCTATTTTTACAAACGAGTGTATGAGTATACTTATAGTATTGCACGAGATTGCATTTGAGTATAGTATTTCCCCTAGATTGCATAATGAGAATGATTCACCGAGATTGTACTTTGAGCATGATTGCTTAGTTGCATTTGATGTCTTATATATCTTGTTTGCAAGATGAGAACTTGAAAGCATGAAGATAATTTCGTATTGATTGATGGTATGCAATTGCTTGTAAGCATGAGTTCGTTATGATGAGTTTTGCTATGAGAAATATGTGTTGGAGTATTTATGTTAAAGAGCTATTTATATTTGAAGCATGTCTGTTG